TGTTTCTAAGGAATCTAACATAATAATCTTCGATCAAAGCAAATGTGTTACAGAATGATTGCACTAAAGTATTTCTTATAATCTCTATCTAGCTTACTATGCCTTTCTGACCATTGACAGCTATAAATGTTTTCTATTCCTATTTCTTTTTATTTTACAAATGAAAATTTATCTCCTCTACATTCACCTGTTGGTTTCTCTTAATCTCAGCAACCATACTTGCATGAATCTAAAATCCAAAGTTTACCTTCTATGAGACTAAAACAGGTTACTAAAAAAAGGAGTAATATGTATATAAGCATTTATTGAGAAAATTGATACTGAATGGCTTCAGGAAGTTTTTTTTTTTAAGTTCAAAGATTATCAGAGCATCAGAACCAACATTTCCACAAAATTCATAAATTTGGCAAACTTCTCAGCATACTAAACCATAACTGAATTTAAAGTCCATTTAAGGTCAACATTGGCAGGGTGCAGTGGCTCATGTCTGGATTACAGTACTTTAGAAGGCCACAGTGGAAGAATTGCTTGAAGCCAGGAGTTCAAGACTAGCCTGGGCAACATAGTAAGGTCCCATCTTTACAAAACTGTTTTTAAAAATTAGCCAGGCATAGTGGCACTTGCCTATAATCCCAGCTACTCAGGAGGCTAAAGTGAGAAGATCACGTGAGCCCAGAAGTTACAGGTTACAGAAGTTATGAACACATCACTGCATTCCAGCCTGGGTAACAGAGTGAGACCCTGTCATTCATTCATTTGTAAGAGTGTGTGTGTATGTGTGCGCATATATATATACACACACACACACATATGTATATATATTTATATTTTTATTTAAATAGTCAACATCAAGAAGCATTTCATGTGGAAAGTCCTCAATCTATGTACACCCTGCTGACCAACTGTCCTCTTAAGATTCTCTAAGGGCCGGGCCCAGTGGCTCACGCCTGTAATCTCAGTACTTTGAGAGGCCTAGGCGGGCAGATCACGAGGTCAGGAGATCGAGACCATCCTGGCTAACACGGTGAAACTCTGTCTCTACTAAAAATACAAAAAATTAGCCGGCCGTGGTGGCAGGCGCCTGTAGTCCCAGCTACTCGGAAGGCTGAGGCAGGAGAATGGCATGAACCCAGGAGGCGGAGCTTGAAGTGAGCCAAGATGGCGCCACTGCACTCCAGCCCGGGCGACAGAGCAAGACTCCATCTCAAACCAAAAAAAAAAAAAAGTTTCTCTAGGAATTGCCAGGCCTAGTGGCACACACCTGTAGTCTCAGCTACTGAAGATCCCTTGAGGCCAAGTGTCTGAAGCCAACATAAGCAAATTACCAACAGCCCAGCTCCATAGAAACTATGAACAGGTGTTTGATATTTGGCCTTACCAGCTCAGGGACCACAGAACCCCCAAGAGACACAGTGCAGGTACAATGTCCTCATCTGTTTTATCTCCAGTCTCATGGATACTTGTTTCCTAATTCTAAAATCTATCTACCCCACCTCCCAAGCCTAACAGTCCACATATCAAATGTTATGACATAATATTTGGAAATCTTAGAAACTCGGAGCCTTTTCCAAGGCTCCAATTTTTTAAGATATTAGTTACAGATACTAGGAGCATTAGAATATACAAGACTTTCTATAAATAAAAAGATGTATGATTAACATGAGAAATCTAATAGCTACTATTTGCCCTACCTATTATATCACTTTCTATTTTCTTGGACAGAAAGTTTACAAACTGAAGCAAGCCTGCCCTTCAACATGGCAAACTAGCTTTCAGGCAAGATGGCCCCAGGTGAAATGAAGTGGCCAGGTTCTTTTTTTGTTGCTTGCTCTCAACAACATATCAACAAATCTAAGTATATATTCTCCAAACTAACTGCATGTAGTAAGACTGTGTGTCAGGACATAATCACCAAAAATAATTTTAAAAAGAAATGAAGTACTAACAGATGCTATAACACGGATGAACCTGGAAAACAGTACAGTAGCTGAAAAAAGTCGGTAACAAAAGATCACATATCATAGGATTCCATTTATATCCAATGTCCAAAATAGGCAAATTCATAGAGACAGAAAGCAGACCAGTGGTTGCCTGGGTGTGGGGAGGGTTGGGGTGAAATGGGGATTGTGACTTCAATGGGTAAGGGCCTCCTTTGGGAAGTGATGAATGTTTTAAAATGGACGCTGGCAATGGTTGTCCAACTCTATGAATATGGTATAAACCACTGAATTGTACACTTTAAATGGGTGAACTGCATGGTATGTGAACTATATCTCAATAAAGCTGGTTTCTTTAAAAAAAATCTTTTTTTTTTTTTTTGAGACGGAGTCTCGCTCTGTCGCCCAGACTGGAGTGCAGTGGCCGGATCTCAGCTCACTGCAAGCTCCGCCTCCCAGGTTCACGCCATTCTCCTGCCTCAGCCTCCCGAGTAGCTGGGACCACAGGCGCCTGCCACCTCGCCCGGCTAGTTTTTTGTATTTTTAGTAGAGACGGGGTTTCACCATGTTAGCCAGGATGGTCTCGATCTCCTGACCTCGTGATCCGCCCGTCTCGGCCTCCCAAAGTGCTGGGATTACAGGCTTGAGCCACCGCGCCCGGCCTAAAAAAAATCTTTAATTTTTACTTTTCTGTTAACTCTCTTTTCCACATCCCCAATTCACTATATTCTTAAGCAAGGAATGTTAGGTTACTAAGCAGTTTGTAGATTCTTGTTCAAACTTCCTAAAGAAAAAAAGTACATCAAAAACAAATTCACAATATAATACAATTTTTTAACGTAAATGTTATAAAGGTTAATTCATTTCCCAAGTTTCCTATGTAAACATATGCCATTACTTTTCTAATTACAAAGAAAAGTGTGATTTGATAAAAGGCTTACAAACTTAAGACCTTTTTCTTCACTGTGTTGTCCATTTCTGTTATGCCCATCACAAGACTGGCGGTTTAATAAGACTGCATGAATACCAGGCTGTGCGATTTGAAAATAGTGTAACAAGCAACAGACAAGGCTGTCCCTCAGCATTGTGCAGAAGGGGTAGGGAGAAAGTAAGTTAATGAGGGGAATGAAGAAACTTTTATTTGTATTATACATTTCTCCTCTGCATTCGTTTTGAGGTTTTTTTTTTTTCTTTAATCATAACTGTGTTTATGATTTTGGTTTAAAATATCACTTTTGGCCAGGCACAGTGGGTCATGCCTATCACCCCAGTACTTTGGAAGGCTGAGTCAGGAGGACTATATGAGGCCAAGAGTTTGAGACCAATCTGGAAAACATAATGAGACCCCCATCTCTTTGAAAATAAAAACAAAAATAAATATCACTTACACTTACCACTTACAGTATTGTGTTCTACTTTGACTGAAATTATTTACAAAAGAAAGTTTGTTTTTTAAACACATGGTAGGAACAGACTATTTTTTGTCCATTGTTTCCAATTTTACTTCATTATAATGATACAACTAATGATCTGTAACGACACTGTCTCTGCAGTATTCACTAAAACTGGCCCTGTGGGCTATTGTTATTTTTATTTATTTATTTTTTATTTTTTATTTTTTTTTGAGACGGAGTCTCGCTCTGTCGCCCAGGCTGGAGTGCAGTGGCCGGATCTCAGCTCACTGCAAGCTCCGCCTCCTGGGTTCATGCCATTCTCCGGCCTCAGCCTCCCGAGTAGCTGGGACTACAGGCGCCCACCACCTCGCCCGGCTAGTTTTTTTTGCATTTTTTTTTAGTAGAGACGGGGTGTTATTTTTATTAAGTTCCAATTATGCTTGAAGAAGTCTATCTTCTTTACTTGCTGGGTGCAAAGTTTAACATATTATCAACAGACCAATCTCGCCATTGTGTTGTTCAAATCTTCTATGGCCTTAGTAAGTTTATGCCTGCTTTGAGAGAGAGACGTGACTATCTCCACCTAAGACTATGGTTTTGTTCATTTCTCTGTAAAATTCTGTCAGTTTTTGCTTTATATGTTTTGAGACTATGTTATTCAGTGCATGTTCAGGTTTGTTATATCTCCTGAAAGAACTGTTCCTGTATCATTATGCACTGGTCTCTTCGTTTTTTGCCTTACGTATTTTTTCCTAATATTAATATTATTCCACAAACTCTTTTCCAATTAGTATTTCTCTATCAGTTAAGGTTTCATCACAGAAGCAAAACCACTATGAGTGATAAGGATAAGGATTATAGAGATTTGACCAGCAATTATGGGAGCTAATTAAGCAGTTTGTATAGGGCTGCTGCTTCTGCATCTACTGTTGGGATAGAAATCAAAGGGCAGGCAACAGGAAAGGAAAGATGGATGTGAAGTGGAGGAAGAACAAGGACAGACTGGAAGTCACATTTATTTCTCACCAACCTGTGAGAGAGAACTTGCAGTATAAGCTGGCACCCTTCATTACAGAGTCCACAAATCTGACCTAGAATTTGGATAACCTGATGGAGAAGAACCAGAGGGAGCTGGAGAAGCTGGAAGTCAAATGCCAACATGGTGATATAGCAAAGTCAGGTGTGTAAGCTGCAACATTGCCTGACCATATACCAACCTTCTGGGCATAAATACAGCTCTTCACTTCTACCTTACAAAGAACACGCAAATTTCTCTTGTGGCTGACCCAAACTGAAAGAAACTACTTTGGAAAGGAAATTCTCGGAAAAGTAGTTCCAGCTCAGTTGTGTGCTGACACAATACAAAGCTGTCACAATTTGAATGGATATTTTCTTCCACTCTTTTGTCTTTTTTCCATTAATTATGTTTTAGATCTGTCTCTTGTAAATTACACATAACTAGAATTCTTCTTCTGTCCTACATCAGGCTCTATCTTTTAGTTGTCAGCCTCTATCTTCTAACTGTCATATTTAATCCATTTACATTTATTGGCATTTATAACTTTCATAATTTAAAAATAATTTTTTAAAAAATGAAATAAGTATGTATTGAAAATATATGCATCATGTGCATTTCTGAAGTATTTTATACACAAAACTTGTTACTTACCACTTCTCCAGCAGAGGCAGCCAACATATGTTTCATAGGTGTCAAATATGAAGATGAATCAGTATGCAAAAACCACTTCACATATTCATAGGTGATAAAAAATGCAGCAGCTGAAATTTAAAACAAGCCAGTCTTTCACAAAGTTTAAACATATATTCAAACTGTTAAGAAACATGTTTCTCAAAAGGTATGACAACAATTATTAAATTATGAGATAACAGAAAAGGTGATAAGCACATATTTTTTTTCCTACCCTCACTCTTTTGGAATTTACTGAGGCCATGTTATATGCCTGATCTTAGACTTACAGAAATGCAGAAAATATAATGCTTACCCTGAGGGAGCATAAGAGCTAATCTAGCACTTACCGTGTTGTGCTGACAAATTACTTAAACATTTTTAAAGTCAACTTTAGAAAAGGATATGAATTTCTGTGATCCAAAATACCATTATGTATGGCCATAAAACAATCAACTACATTATGAATAAATAGATTAAAATTGCAAACATACTTTAACTTGAAAGAAAATGTCTATTCTATAATGTTTTATTGCTGGTTACTCAAAATAACCATGGCTATTTTTTACTGCATGAATTCACCTTCACATCAAGAAAACAATCAACCACTTAATTTAAACTGGAAATCAAAATCTCTAAAAAGCTACCCCTATCACCATAAACTAATCGCAGCTGCACACGAGGGCTTTAAAACTTTCTATGTACTGTTAATCAAAAAATGTTTATCAGTTGGATAAAAGATAAGGCACAAGAGATAAAGGAATGACAAATTCATCTTCTGAAGGACATTTGAACATGTCACAAAGTCTGAAACACTGAGGAAAACAGCCTGATACGTGAAAATCAGTTCTCCAAAGTCAACAAAAGCTTGTAAAGGATCTTCACATGCTAACAAATATACACTAGGCTAAAAAAAGAAGCACTCTGTCCACGAATGAATAATGACCAGTTCAGGCAGTTTTACGTGGTTAACACAAGTCTATTCCCATTTGTTTCTTCATACGATTTTTCCCACTTCAGCCCACTCACTAAATGTGGAGCTATAATACCTCTAATTGCATTCAGCTGTTAAGTTCTGCCACTCTACCTCCTACCCTCCTAATCCCCAAGAAAAGGGAGAAAGACAGTGGTAAAACTTCCTCCATTTCATGGTTAACCACCTCAACTTCGTCTGACTTTATGGCTTCTTTTGTGATCTACAAGGTTCTTTAAGAATATAAGTTCCAAACCTCCCTCCAACCTCCAGGTGGCATCCAAGAAGGCCTCTACTAACTGGAAATGTCAGTACAGTCAGGTTCCAAGTTGGCGGCTGAACAAGTTAAAGCAAAGAAGAGGGGCTGGGTTATCTGATGCCTATAGTTTCTTCTGGCTCTTAACAAACAAACAACAACAACAAAATAAAAACAAACCACTATGCTTTCTCTACATTCCCTTCAAAACAGGGAGTAAGGCTCCTAAACATGGTCTTCTCTTCACCTCTTTCCATCTTTCGTCCCCTCTAGCCCCACCCCAATCCCTCACTCCTGCAGCATAGGTTTACAAAAACATCCATAGCCACTGATGATCAACTACAGTGAAGTTCTGTACTCAGATTAAGACCGTAAGCAACAGCAAAATAAAAAAGACACCAAACACAAAAGTCCAATTCATTCAAAATTTGCAGTAAAACAAGGCTATTTTTGAAACCCTGGTACTCTCACTTTTCCCTAGCATCTCCCATTCACTAAAGTTTGGTGGATGGGACCAAAAAAAAAAAAAATCAAAACCACATTCTATAAGTAAACTCCTAAAGGAAGAAGAATGCAAAACCTGTGATCTTAATGACAGCACTATGTAACCCACACACTACAGCTAATTGTACATCTCCCCACAATAATCTTTATGTGCAATATGTAAGAGAAAAAGATCTTTAGAAGAGTGAGTGTAAAGGAAGGAGACATCATAAAAAATGGTGACCAAAAGATGGGGACTTAGTGACACGTTTCTTTGCAATTCCCTAGTTCAGAGGTTCTCAAACTTGTCTGAATGTAGGAATCATCTAGGGATTTTTTTAAAACATCCAATGCCCAGGTCACACCTCAGACCAATTAAGTCACAATCTCTGGGGTTGGGTGACAAACACCAGTACAAGTGATCCTTGAACATGGGTTTAAAGGCACAGGTTCACTTATACATGGCTTTTTTTCAATAAATATATTGGAAAAAATTTTGGATATTCGTGATAATCTGAACAAACTTATAGATGAACCACATAGCCTAGAAATACCAAAAAATTAAGAAAAGGTGGCTGGCTGGGCACCATGGTTCATGCCTGCAATCCCAGCACTTTGGGAGACTGAGGCGGGTGGATCATGAGATCAGGAGATCGAGACCATCCTGCCTAACACGGTGAAACCCCATCTCTACTAAAAATACAAAAAAAAAAAAAAGCCGGGTGTGGCAGCGGGCGCCTGAAGTCCCAGTTACTCAGGAGGCTGAGGCAGGAGAATGGCATGAACTCAGGAGGCAGAGCTTGCAGTGAGCCGAGATGGCACCACTGTACTCCAGCCTGGGCGACAGAGCAAGACCCTGTCTCAAAAAAAAAAAAAAAAAAAAAAGAAAAGGCTAGCCGTGCCATGAATACATAAAATATATGTAGATACTAGCCTATTTTATCATTTACTAACATAAAACATAAAAAGTTAAAATTCATCAAAACTTATAAACACAAACCATATAGCACATCATTCACAGTTGAGAGAAATGTAAACAAATGTAAAGATGGGCCAGGCACAGTGGCCCACATCAGTAATCCCAGCACTTTTGGAGGCTGAGGCTTAAGCTCAGGAGTTCAAGACCAGCCTGGACAACACAGAGAAACCTCATCTTTACAAAAAAAAAACAAATAATTAGCCAGGTGTGGTCGCCCACACCTGTAATCCCAGCTACTTGAGAGACTGAGGTGGGAAGATCACCTGAGCCTGGGAGGTTGAGGTTGCAGTGGGCCAAGATCATGCCACTGCATTCCAGTCTGGGCAACGGAGTAAGACCTGTCGCAGGGGGAAAAACAAGGTGTAGTGTTAAATCGTAACTGCACACCAAATTAACTGCAGCACACACTGTACTACGTAGTAATCTCTTTGCCACTTCCTCTCGCTATTATCATGAGTTCAGATGTTGCCGAGTATCCACTTAAAACGCCATGTGACACTAATTATCTCCACATGAGCAGTTCATCGCCCCAATAAATTGCCTGTCACAGTACAAAAGGATCTCTCCCAGTTCTTATGTATTTTTTGTTGTGGTTAGTGCCATACCACAAACTTTGAATAACACCATAGGACCCATATGAAGTGCCACTAGTGATGCTGGAAGTGATGACATTACAAGAAAGCTCCTAAGAAGCAGAAAGGAGTCATGACATTACAAGAAAGAGTCAAATTGCTTGTTACATACCGCAGACTGAAACAGTGGCTGCCAGCCATTTCAAAAGGAATGAATCCAGCTTAATCCATTGTTTAAAAAAAAAAAAAAAAGAAACAAAACTCATTAACCCATTGCCGCAGCTATGTCAGCAGGCATGAAAACTTTGCACTTCTTGCAAACTACCTTTTTTCTTGTTTTGAAAATGCAGCTTTTATGTGGGTAAAGGATTGCTATAATAAAGGCATACTTATTATGTCTAAAATCATTTGAGAAAAAGCAAAGTCATTTCATGACAAGATCAAACAAAAGGAAGGTGAAAAATCTAAAGCTGAAGAAGTTAATGCCAGCCAAGGATAGTTTGATAATTTGAGAAAAAGATTTGGCTTTAAAACGTCAAGATAACAGGAGAAGCAGCTTCTGCCATCCATAAGTCAGTAAACAAGTTCCCAGCTGCCATTAAGTAAATTATTGAGGAGAAAGGACATCTGCCTGAGTAGGTTTCTAATGTAGATGAAAGTGCCCTATTCCGGGAAAAGAAAAATGTCACAAAGGACATTTATTAGTAAGGAAGAGAAGCAGACAAATCCTTCACAGTATTCATGACAGAGCCAATCAAGAAAACCATAAAAGAGATTGTGGATGTGGAAAAAAAAAAAAAAAAAAGGTGGGGGTGAAGGGTTTCAAAATATAAATCTTAAATTCAAGAGCTGACACCACACCAGAGGAATTAACGGAAGACAACTTGGTGAAGATGAGTGCTTCCAAACCAGTGTCAAATGACAAGGGAGATGTAGAAGAAGGAGTGCCAGAAAAGAAAATGACATCAGACAATCTAGCAGAAAGGTTCTGATTATTAAAGACTGCTTTTGACTTCTTTTATGATGAGGACGCTTCTACAATATGGGCACTGAAACTAAAGCAAATGGTGAAAGGATTGGTACCATATAGAATCATTTTCAGAGAAATGAAACAGCAAAAAAGTGAGACAGAAACTATGATATATTTCCATAATATTACACCATGTGAGCCTGCTTCTCTTGCCTCCCCTTCCACCTCCTCTACTTCTTCTGCCTCTGCCACCCCGAGACACCAAGACCAGCTCCTCTTTTTTCTCCTCTTCCTCAGCCTACTCAACCTGAAGACCTTTATGATGATCCACTTCCCCTTACTGAATATACGTTTTCTCTTCCTTACAATTTTCTTAATATTTTTTCTCTAGCTTACCTGATTGTAAGAATACAGTATATAAAACATTTGCCGGGTGCAGCGACTCACGCCTGTAATCCCAGCACTTTGAGAGGTCAAGGCAGGCGTTTCACATGAGGTCAGGATAACATGGTGAAACCCTGTCTCTACTAAAAATACAAAAAATTAGCCGGGTGTGGGGGCGTGTGCCTGTAATCCCAGCTACTCAGGAGGCTGAAGCAGGAGAATCACTTGAACCCAGGAATTGGTTGCAGTGACCTGAGATCACGCCATTGCACTCCAGCCTGGGTGGTGACACAGCAAGACTCTGTCTTGAAAAAAATAAAAAACAAAAAATAAAAAAAAAAAAACACATAAATATATGTTAATACATATCTTAACACACATACAAAGTATGTGCTACTCAACTGTTTATGCTATCATTAAGGCAGCAGCAGGCTATCAGTAGTTAAGTTTTGGGGAAGTCAAAAGTTATATTTCGATTTTTGACTGCACAGGGGGTTGACAACCCTAACCGCCACATTGTTCAAGGGTCAACTGTATTTGTTTAAGCTCTTCAGTAATCAGGTGATTCCAAAGTGGACAAACTGGGGAACCTATGACCCTCTCACATACTTAAAACTATGCTTGGCATGGAGTGGATGCTCAGTTAACGACTTGTTACAATTACTCAAAGTATTAACGTACAAAGAAATGCAAGGATGACCAAAACAGTTTGCCATTCTAATGATGGCTGGGGGATGAGGAAGGGCAGGAGAAAAAAAGAAACAGAAATACTATTTTTCTCTTTGCACTACAAATCTTTGTATGAATGCTATGCTCACAGATTGAACATTTAAATGTCAAGTTAACATAAGAGAAAAAAATTCTCATGAATCATCCTGTGAAAAATGAAAGCAAACCCTAGAATTTAAGAATCTTCTAGAGCTGTGGTTTTGTGGGTGTGTCTTATATATGTGGTGATTTTTTTGTTTTGTTGCTTTAGTTTACTTTTGGAGGCCACTAGAGGCATCCAACAGTAAACAATTAAAATAAGTATCTGCAAACAGTATACCAAGAAGCAGATTAAACAAAACAGATTACACTGACTAAAGAGTAAGAGTGTCATAAGTCACATAACATGACTTCAGAACCAAAACAAAAGACACTGGAAGGAGAGTATCCAGGAGATCATTAGTGAGAAACACTTGCATCATCTAAGAACAATTTAATTAGGATAGAAATGTTTAATGCCTCCTAGGTTCACCTGCTCTCTAAGATGCTCCAAAGCAGCTATCATCAAACCTGACTTCACACTGGAGTCACCTTGGAAGCTATTAAAACTCCTGATACCCAGGCAAAGCCTAGACCAATTAAACTTCTAGGGTGACACAGGACATCAGTACTTTTTAAGGCTTCCCAGTAGATTCTAATGTGCAGGCAAAGTTGAGAATGATTGTTCTGAGGAATCACAACATTAAAATAACACTTTAAGGATTCTAGCTGGAAATTTTAACAACAAAAACCATTTTTTAAAGATTGCTTTTTTTTTCCTATTACAAATATATCGAAATAGAATCTATAACACTATCTGAGTCAAAAATAATGGGTTAGGCCCGGCACAGTGGCTCATGACTACCATAATCCCAGCCTCTGGGAGCCCAAAGTGGACAGATTGCTTGAGCCTAGGAGTTCAAGCCCAGCCTAGACAACATGACAAAACCCATTCTCTACAAAAAAACAGAAAAATTAGCCGGGCATGGTGGTGCGCGCCTGTAGTTCCAGCTACTTAGGAGGCTGAGGTAGGAGGACGGCTTGAGCCTGGAGGTCAAGGTTGCAGTAAGCTATCATCTCACCACTGCACTCCCACCTGGGTGACAAAGTGAGACCCTGACTAAAATAAATAAAAAAGAATAACAACAGGTTAAAGAAGTAAATTCAGAAGATAAGCTTCAACACACAAGGAATTCTATGTGGGTAAGACCACACACCATTCTGAAAATCCAATCTTATCATGGCTTTACAGAAGTGAGAATATAATTTTTTACCATTAGGAAAGGATCCAACAGCAGCAGAAGGAACACCAGCATATATTCCACGAAAACCACCAGCCTTATTAAATCCTTGGGGACTCTGCAGCCTGGTTTTAATGGTATCCAGAGGAAATAATATCAAGTCAACAGAAACACCTGCTAACCCACCAGCCTTTGAAAAAAAAAAGAGGGAAGAAAAAGAAAAAAAAAAAGGTTACAACAAAATAAGCCCTCTGCCACTTGGGTGTAAAGACAGGAAAAAGACAGTCTTTAAAGCACATTTCTCATTCCTTTCAGCCCACAACTTCTGCAGCACAAAGTGTTACCTTCAGTCTAAATCTAGAAGTTTTCCTGAGAAAATAGCCATTATTGTGCTATATTTTTAAGTTGTAAACCTTATATTTTCTTTTTAAATCAAATTTTAATTTAAAAATTTTTAAACAAAATTTAAATTCATTGTTAATACAGTACTCACATGATTCAAAATGCTAAAAAAAAAAAAAAAAAAAAAAGGCCAGATGTAATGGCTCATGCCTCCCAGCAGTATGGGAGACAGAACTGGAAGGATTACTTGAGGCCAGGAGTTCGAGACCAGCCTGTGCAACACAGTGAGACATCATCACTACAAAAAATAAAAAATTAAGCTGGGGATGGTGGCACATGCCTGTAGTTCCAGCTACCTGGGAGGCTGAAGAACAAAGATCACTTCAGCCTAGGAGTTCAAGGGTTCAGTGAGCTATGATCCTGCCACCGCACTCCAGCATGGGTGACAGCAAGACCCTGTGTCTTAAAAACAAATAGCCAACAAGAACAACAAATAAACTTCAAAAAAGGTCAATAGCTCAAAGTCTCCTTCCAACCTTGTTCCTAATAACTCAGGTAAACCACTTTTATTGGTTTCTTGCTGTATCCTTCCAAAGTTACTTTACACATACACAAGCATGTATGAACATATAGTTTCATTTTCTTTAAAACGAAAAGATGATGTACAATATGCACTATTCTGTACTTTTTTTTTTTTTAAACAATTTATCTTTATCTTTTCACATCAGACCAAATGTTATACTGTTGTCTTAACCAATAAGCAGTGAATCCGAATTGACTCCTTTCAGACTGGAATTTTGAAACAGCTTATGATCTCTGTGAATCTGGATCTGTATTTTAATAATCACACATCTAAGAACTCATATAGTATTATCTTCGGCTTTAAATGTATTTGAAAATTCCTTGATAATTTTTTAATCAAGTGAATAAATTGATTTTTTTAAAGAGCTAAATGTCTGAAGGAAATTAAAATCTGGCCCAAACTAGTAATCTCCCAAGAGATACCATGTTGCTTTGGGGAAGCTGTACTTTAAAAACTGATTAATTCCTGCTAAATGGATTTTAGGGAAAAAAAACTGATTAAGAACTAACTCTGTACCTCATGATTATAGTGACACATATGTAGAATATGTTTAAACTCGTTACACCTTAGTCAAAGAAAACAAATTGAAAAAATATGAACACAAAGAGCATCAAAGAAAGGCTAATACGTATGAATCCTCACATGTGTGATTATTAAAATACAGATCTGGATTCACAAGGATCATTAGTTGTTTCAAAATGTAGGTCTCAAAAAAGTCAATACACATGCACTACTTATTAGTGAAAAAGACAAAAACATAACATTTGTTCTGATATGAAAAGACCACCCAGATCGAAAGGCATCATTTAAAGATGTGAGTTAAAATCAGTTTACAGTAGGCAGACAAATGCACTATAAAGAGGAAACTTTCCTATACAATTTTTTAACTGAATTGCTAATTTTTGCCATATTTTGAAATCAGAACCATGTGAATACATCACCTATTCAAAAAGTAAAAATACACATTTTTAAACTATACATTTCATGACAAAGGAAAAAAAAGAATCAGTATTATTCAAACATACAACCGAAGTTCAAACTGATTGTTTCCATCCTTTAAGTTTACAAAATGTGCAGATGCCACAAAGCTTAGTACCTAGCAAATACTATCTGCTTTACTTACCGCTCACCATAAAACCATCCCAGGAGTTAACTGGAAAAATGAAATACTTTAATGATAAATCCAATACCTATTTTCAAATTAACTAGCACAGGTTATTAAAAATTAATTTACCCTAGACAAGTACATTACTACAAATAGTAATACTATACTTCATGATCAGCCCAAAGACATGAAAGAAGCCCAAAGACCCTGAAGTTCTACTCTGCAAATTACCTAAGAAGACGTCACCCAAAAGGGCACAGAGATGTGCCAATAGAGAAACTAAGTAGTACCAAAAGAATATCCAATAATGTGGGATTTCTTTCTGGACATAAAGGTGGCCTTCCCTAAGTCATGGGAAAAAGTTCACAAGTAATGCAGGAAAACAAAAAGGCCAATCGTCAAAATTCTTCTTACTTCTTGTTTCAGGATTTTTATAAAATTCAGTAAGTAGAGCCAGGCACGGTGGTAAGTACCTGTAATCGCAGCTACCTGGGAGGCTAAGGCAGGAGGATCGCTTGAGCCCAGGAGTTTGAGATTACAGTGAGCTACGATTGTGCCCATGAATAGCCACTATGCTTGCCTGGGCAACACAGGGAGACCTCGTCTCTAATAACAATTTGGTAAGTAAACATTTTGCCTGCCTCTTCGTTTTCTCAAAATACAGAGAGAATAGAATCCTGGTGAAAATGTCTCATGTGACTAGATTATTTGAAAACATGCTGCACTTCCCTCTCATTTTCTCTTTAATCTTAGGAGAGGATTCAGAGAAACACTATCTACTGCTAAATTTTAATCAATAATTACTCTTTTAAACCAGTTGGCTACTTTACATGTATTGATTCTCTAACCTTTCTTTCATCACAATTCTTAACTTCTGAGGAAAAAAATGACCAGATTCAATCTACTTGTCTGGTAAAACATGACTCAAGGATTACTAATCGCTTCTATCGATTACAAACTTCTATTTAACTCAAATGTCATTTAAATTCATAAGACTGAAAAAAAAAAAAAAACAGCTAACAGAGAACCTGAAGAATAAGAATACCTATATATTTAGCCACACAACCACATACTTCAGATTTAAACAAAAACCTTAATGCCTATATCAATATTGTTTTGTATGTAAATAAGTAAAAAATATATAAGCCAGTAACAACCTAATTATAAAGAACTCTATCAAACTCTTATTCTTTAGCCTGAAAATTTTATTTTGTTATAATCATTTATCAGAAAGTTATCAGGCAAGTGATTTGTTTCATAATTTATGATAGCTTATACTGAAAAATTCTAACTAGAAAAAATCCAAAGAAATAGGACATAACCCAGATAACCAGCAAATCTTGCTAGAGCATCACAATGTATTGAGACCTCAATATCTTATAGATAAAAGATATGTCTCTACCTTAAGTTAATAAATGTATGAAGTGTTGGCAGGCTGTAGAGAGGAAGTGCCTAATTAGTGCTCTGCAATTACTCTGAGAAGTGATAGGTCAGAATTACATGCCATAAAACTGTTTTTCTCTAAAGGAGGAGGGCACACCATAAAAACAGCATCACCGCTGTCCCCCTAGGACAAAACCGAATCATCTGCGCAATTTAACTAAGCAAAATCAACACAGGTCCCAGGCCTAAATGACAGCTAAGAAGAACCAGCCTTAATATTCACATGGCTTCTCAAGGGAAACATTTCCCTGACAGTCTCAGTCTCCTCCACAATGAAGTGGCCGCCCATGACCTGAATCACCATCTTCCTCACTGCAGAACTGCCACTTCTGTTTTCTGACATACTTGTCGCCTTCCCTACTGCCCATTCCTTCTCCCTGCAGTGCTCGCTGTCTCTCTGTACTAATCATTTTCATAGAATCCAAATTTCATCTTGCCACTCTCCAGCCTATAAATCTTCCAAACTTTCCAACAGCCCCGAGGATGAAGAAAACCCTAGCACAGCCTTCCAGGCTCTGGAAATTCTGGAGCCCCTCCAGCTCCCAAAACTTGCACTATGTGCCCTTTGCTCAGTCCTTTCTTTCCACTTGGATCTTTTCCTCTAAATCATCTGATCTTCCTCATTTCAAGGACTTCGTACAGATGCCTCCTAATCTCCAGTTCAGGTTTAGATCCTCTTGCCAAGCACTGAACACAATTTTAATTACATAGTTTTGCCTCTGACCATTTGTTCAGTACCAGTCCAATTAAACCATAAGATCTTTATCTGTTTTGTTTACTAATATGTTCCCAGCACCAGCACATATTAATGGGAGGCACTCAATGGCTCTAATAAAGGGTTACTATCTATATTTTAGAAGGCACTAAAAAGGTACACTGAACTTTTTAAAAAAAATAGCAAAAGACAGGACCAGGCAATTCCCAAAAGAAAAATATCAATGACTAACAAAAATTTGAAAATATGATTCTCCATCATTAATTATCAAATAAAAACAAAATGTTTTCCCAATTAGAAAAAATTTAAAATATGAAGAATGGGTATGGGCACTGTTAATGAAAACATTACCATAATCTACTGGAGGACAATTTGGCAAAATGAACATTTTAAATTATCAAACCCTTTGACCCAGTTAACTTTATTTTTAAGCATTTCTTCCACAAAAATACTTGCACAAATATATAAGAATGTCTACTACACCATTTCTGTAATAATAAAAAAATTGGAAACAGCCTCAAAGTCCATCCACTGGGGTCTTGTTAAGTAAATTAAGTTATACACAAATAATGAATTGCTACACAGCCTTTAAAACAACAAGGTAGGCTGGGTGCAGTGGCTCATGTCTGCAGTCCTAGCTGCTGGGAGGCTGAGATGGGATGCTCACTGGGGCCCAGGAGTGTGAGGTTGCAATAAGCTATGATCACGCCACTGCCCAGCATTCCAGCTTGCGCAACAGAGCAAGATCCTGTCTCTAATTAAAAAACAAAAAAATAGGTCAATCCATACTTATTGGCACAGAAACATACACTATATTCTTAATCAAATTAGCTATAAAACAAAACATGCTGTATAATCCCATCTTAAAAAAAGTGTAACTATTTGTATATGCATAATTAGAAATCTGGAAGCATAAACGGTAAATTGCTAGAAGTTATTGCCTCTGTGGAAAGATTCAGGATGAGAAATATTACTACTATCTTGTTAATCTTTTATTTGCTC